CTTTGGGAGACTGAGGCTGGTGGATCACTAGTACGGGTGTTCGAGACCAGCCTGGCCGACACGGTGAAACCCGTCTCTACTAAAAATACAAAAATTAGCCAGGCATGGTGGCGCGTGCCTGTAATCCCAGCTACTGAGGAGGCTGAGGCAGGAGAATTGTTTGAACCTGGGAAGGGAGGTTGTGATGAGCCGAAATTATGCCACTGCTCTCCAGCCTGGACGACAGAGCCAGACTTCGTCTCAAAAACAAAAACAAAAACAAAAACAAAAAATATTTTCAAAGCAAGTAAATTATGAATTCTCATGGTGATTCTTTCAGGAGGATAGGCAATATTATTCTATAAAATTTAATATTTATAAATATTTGTATCATATTTATAAATATTTATATAATGTTTTGTTTTTCCTTGTATAGGAAAAAGAGGTGCTTTTTTCTCTTCATTAAGCTGCCAAAATTTGAAAACCAGAATGAATTAATAAACCTATAGGAGTAGGCTCCATTTGTGGTGTTTTAGGACTTAGATACATACAGAGAAAAAGGCTAACTGGAAATTGTCTCTTCTTTTAGGACTGGATTGATGAGGAAGTTTTATATTGATTTATTTTGAGATTTACTATATTTACAGGAGTTCAGAATGGGTGCAGTGGCTCATACCTATAATCCCAGCACTTTGGGAGGCTGAGGCGGGCGGATGACCTGAGGTCAGGAGTTTGAGACCAGCCTGGCCAACATGGTGAAACCCCATCTCTACTAAAAATACAAAAATTAGCCGAGTGTTATGGCACACACCTCTAATCCCAGTTAGTAGGGAAGCTGAGGCAGGAGAATTGCTTAAACCCAGGAGGTGGAAATTGCAGTGAGCCAAGATTGCATCACTGCACTCCAGCCTGGGTGACAGAGCAAAACATACATTCTCTCTCTCTCAGAAATAAAAGAAGTTTAGTCATAGGAGATGATAAACTTAAGGATATAAAATATTCCTTGGTAGCTAGTTTTTGATAACTTTATAAATCTTTGAACCTTTGGTGGGTTAAGCACTTTTTTTTTTAAGGCAGGGTCTTGCTCTGTGGCCCAAGTTGGAGTGCAATGATGTGATCTCAACTTCCTGTAACCTCTACCTCCTGGGTTCAAGCAATTCTCATGCCTCAGCCTCCCAAGTAGCTGGGATTACAGGCATACACCACCATACCCGGCTCAGTTTTTTTTTTTTTTTTTTTTTTTTTTTGAGACAGAGTCTCACTCCACCAGGTGGCAGGCTGGAGTGCAGTGGCGCGACCTCGGCTCACTGCAGTCTCCGCCTCCCGGGTTCAAGCAATTCTCCTGCCTCAGCCTCCCGAGTAGCTGGGACTACAGGCATGCGCCACCACGCCCAGCTAATTTTTTTTTTTGTACTTTTAGTAGAGACGGGGTTTCACCATGTTGGCCAGGATGGTCTTGATCTCTTGACCTCGTGATTCACCCGCCTTGGCCTCCCAAAGTGCTGGGATTACAGGCTTGAGCCACCGCGCCCGGCCAGTTTTTGTATTTTTAGTAGAGATAAAGTTTTACCATGTTGACAAGGCTGGTCTCAAACTCCTGGCTTCAGATAATCTGCCTGCCTCAGCCTCCCAATGTGCTGGAATTACAGGCATGAGCCACCATGCCTGGCTGAACCTTTGGTGGCTTACACACTTCTATTCAGTACATTGAAAATTTGCAGCTTGGTACAGTGACTCATCCTTGTAATCTTAGCACTTTGGGAGGCTGAGGCGAACGGATTGCTTCAGCTCAGGAGTTTGAGATCAGCCTGGGTAACATGATGAATCGTCTTTACTAAAAAATATAAAAAATTAGTTGGGTGTGGTGGCATGCTCTTGTAGTCCCAGCTACTCAGAAGAGTGAACTGGGGGATCACCTGAGCCCAGGAAGTTGAGGCTGCAGTGAGCAGTGATCATGCCACTGCACTCCAGCCTGGGTGATGGAAGTGAGATCTTGTCTCAAAAAAAAAAAAAAGGTTAATTTGTAATGCAACTGAAACAGTTGGTTTGTACTCCCAGAGTGATTTGTTTATTCTGAAATGTATTTAATCATTCTAAGATTTGAACTATTCAGTTATCACCTTCATGTGTGTCAGTCTTCATTGACTGTTCCATTTATTGAGTCTGCAGCCTTACTTATGTATTTATTTGTTTATTATTGTTGTTATTATTTTTGAGATGGAGTCTATCTTTGTCGCCCAGGTTGGAGTGCAGTGGTACAATCTCTGATCACTGCAAACTCCGCCTCCTGGGTTCAAGCGATCTCTTGCCTCTGCCTCAGCCTCCCGAGTAGCTGGGATTACAGGCATGTGTCACCATGTTCAGCTAATTTTTGTATTTTTAGTGGAGATGGGGTTTTACCATGTTGGCAAGGTTGGTCTCAAACTCCTGACCTCAAGTGATCTGCCTGCCTCTGCCTCCCAAAGTGCTGGGATTACAGGCGTGAGCCACAGTGCTCGGACTGTATTTATTTTTTGATACAGGGTCTTACTCTGTCACTCTGGCTGGAGTGCAGTGGCATGATCTCAGCTCACTGCAGCCTTCACCTCCAGAACTAAAGTGAGCCTCCCATCTTAGCTTCCCAAATAGCTGGGTCTATTGGCACATGCCACTATGCCTGGCTAATTTTTTATTTTTTTGTAGAGATGAGGTTTTGCCATGTTGCTTAGGCTGGTCTCAAACTCTTGGGCTCAAGCAGTCTACCTACCTGGGCCTCCCAAAGTGCTAGGATTATAGGTGTGAGCCACTGTGCCTGCCCTGAACCTGTAGCCTTAGGCTCATGTTTTGTTCTAAGTGATTCAATTTCTTTTCTTTTAATTTAGCATTGTCCCAATCCCTTCTTCTAATGAAGAAATTCGCTTAGTTGATGATGCGTTTGGAAAAATTTGTCACATGGTCAGTGATGGCTCTTGGGTGGTTCGTGTTCAGGCAGCAAAACTATTGGTAAGTTACATTTTTTATGTATGTTTGTACATATGTATATATTTTCTTTTTTTTTTTTTTCCTTCTCATATGGTTAAAGTATGTATGTATTTTCTTTTCTGTAGAAATGGGACCTGTGTGGCCCAGGTTGGTCTCAAACTCCTGGCCTCAAGCAATCCTCCTGCCTCAGCCCCCCAAAAGACTGGGATTATAGCCCAGGCATGGTGGCTTACATCTGTAATCCTAACACTTTGGGAGGCCAAGGCAGGCAGATTACGAGGTCAGGAGATTGAGACCATCCTGGCCAACATGGTGAAACCCTGTCTTTACTAAAAATACATAAATTAGCTGGGCATGGTGGTGCGCGCCTGTCCCAGCTACTCAGGAGGCTGAGACAGGATAATCGTTTGAAACCAGGAGGTGGAGGTTTCAGTGAGCCGAGATCACGCCACTGCACTCAAGCCTGGCGACAAGAGTGAGACTCCGTCCCCCCCCACAAAAAAAAAAGACTGGGATTATAGATGTGACCCACTATACACGACCAATAATACTTTATTTTTAATGAACACATTGCTTGTTAAGTTTATACAAATATTTTGAGAAACTACAGATGAGGTAGTGTGGCCTGAATTTTAATCCCCAGAATTTCTTTTTCTTTTCTTAAGACAAGGTCTTACTCTGTTGTTCAGGTGGGAGTGCAGTGGCGCAATCACGGTTCACTGCAGCGTTGAACTGCCCGGCTCAAGTGATCCTTCCACCTCAGCCTCCTGAGTAGTCTGCCCAAGACTGGTCTTTCCCAGAATAAATGCAGATATTCCTAGTTAGTGGCAGTTTTTGGTATGATGTATTTACCACCTAGTTTCATAGACTTATGTTATTTATACTAATTGGCAGTTTTTCCTCTTAAAGGAGGTTTGATAATTATTAAATATCTTGTATCTAAATTTTGTATCCATTTAATAAGGCTCTCTAATGAAATGGTTTTCTTAGTGTTAAGTAAGGTTTTCACAGCATTAACTACCTAAATTTAGGTTGTTAAGTAGTGCTAGTAGTACAGCTGGGGAGATTCCATTTTAATCTAAACATATTTGTCTTGATTAAAGTATACCACGATGTAGCTGTTTTTCTGATGGATGAGGCATACTTTATGATGAACTAACTCATTATCTTTTTCATATAAATCTGTTTCTCTATGTTTTCATAAATTATACTGTCATCTGCTAAGTTTTGAACCAGAGGAATTTGGGCATATTTTTTCTGTCCCGTATCTATTGAATCACCAACTCATATCAGATTTCTTCCTTCTTGACATCCCCTAAATCCATTCCTTCTCCATTTCCACTGGGCCTGCAGTAATAGAGATCTCACCATTTTTCAAGTGGATTACTATGCTCTAGGGCTCTTTGTGTTTGTGAACTTAAAATGGAAAGCCTCACCTATTCTCAGGTGACATTGAAAATTTATTTCAAGTAATTATATTTAATTTTTTTTTTCTTTTTTTTTTTTTTTGAGACGGAGTTTCGCTCTTGTTACCCAGGCTGGAGTGCCATGGCGCGATCTCGGCTCACCGCAACCTCCACCTCCTGGATTCAGGCAATTCTCCTGCCTCAGCCTCCTGAGTAGCTGGGATTACAGGCACACGCCACCATGCCCAGCTAATTTTTTGTATTTTTAGTAGAGATGGGGTTTCACCATGTTGACCAGGATAGTCTCAATCTCTTGACCTTGTGATCCACCTGCCTCGGCCTCCCAAAGTGCTGGGATTGCAGGAGTCAGCCACCGCACCTGGCCCAGTTATATTTAATTTTTTGAGGCACAAATTTGTATCGTACTCCCTCTGTGCTGCTGTATTGGCAGAGTGCTCAGCTGAGGGCACTGGAGGAGGGCACTGGGAATTATGAATGAAGCAACTTACTGTGAAGTCCTGAAAACTTTTATTCTAGTGGGAAAAAGCCAACAGCTAATACTGGTGGTAAAACCAAAGAGAGATTCGGGAGATCTTAAACATTTATGGTTCTTATTTATAAAATTGTTGTTTGGATTTAAAAAATGGATTTTAGGTGCAAACGTGATTACTAGCTCTGCGTGATGTGGCAGAAGCAAAGGGAACCAGGTTTGCGAAAGTAACTATGGTGATAGAAATGTGTAAGCTTCAGACACTACTGAGATGGCCCTTTCTATCTTAGTACATTCTAAGTACTGGTTACTGCATTTTTCATTGGCTAACAAAAAGTTACTTTTTATTGATCTTTGATGTTTTGATCTTTAAATGGAATAGAAATTAATAATATTTAATGAACATGTAAGCATAAAGTGATGTGGTGGCTCGAAAATACAATGTGGAATAATTAAATCAATGTAGTTAATGTATTCAGCTCAAATACTTAACACTTTGTGGCAAGAACATTTGAAATTCTCCTGGCAGTTGTGAAATATACCATACTCTATATTCACCATACTGTGCATTAGAACTAAAAAAAACCATGTTCCTCCAGTTGAAGATTTTATACTTTTTGACTCTCATCTGCCCATTCTTTGCACCCACCCCCCTAACCAGCCTCTGTAACCGCCATTCTACTCTCTGCTTTTATGAGTTCCATTGTTTAAGGTTCTACCTACAAGTGAGAACATGCAGTATCTGTCTTTTTGTGCCTGGCTTATTTCACTGAGCACAATGTTCTCCACTTCCATTCATGCTGCAAATGATAGAATTTCCATCTTTTTTAAAGGCTGGGTAATACTCCGTTATATATATGTATACCAGATTTCCTTTATCCATTTATCTGTTGCTGTTAATATATAGTGCTGCAATGAACGCGGGAGTGCCGATCTCTTGGACAAACTGATTTCAGAACTTTTGGGCAAATACCTAGAAGTGGGATTGCTGGATCTAACATTTCTTCTATTTGACTTTTGGCCCTGTAGTAACAGGACATCAAAGAAGTTGGGGTTTGGGAAAGTTAGCTTAAGATCATACATAAGTAAATGTATTCAAGCCTTGATTATTTAACCTCTATCTGATTGTGAGGTCTTAAGTATTCTCTATTAAATTTTATTAAAATAAATTTTATTAACATTTTTATTAAAATTTAATTATATTTTAATTGAAATTATTCTCTTCAGTTATGATTTTTAAAATATATAAAAAGTGGATGTTAGATATGACATTGGCTCAGATCCATGTAACAAAAGAAAAAGTGGTTTTGAAACTACTTTAGTCAAAATAGTATAGCAGTTATTTTCGTGGAATCATAGGAAAGGTGAGTAGGGACATTCCCCAAGAACACATAATTTTCTATGGAAAATGTGATTAGAGAAAAGATCTGAGCTTATACAAGCATTTCCGTGTTTATTAACTTGGGAATTATAGAAAATCTCAGATAAATTTCTTAATGTCTAAGACCTGTAGCTTCTGAAACTGGTCTTTTTGCTTTCATTTTGATTCCTTATGGTCCATTAGTCATACGGTTGTAAGATCGGCTTTATGAAATACAAATCTATGTTCTCTCTTACGAATAAGTCACGTAATCTCAGCCTCAGTTCTCATCTAGATAATAGGGATGAGAGGTATATGGGATTATTTGGAAGAATAAATTTGAAAAATATAAGTAAAATATTTTATACATTGTTGAGCTCATTAGGTGTTTAATAGGAGTTATGTAATAATTATTTGTAAGGCAAACCCCTTACTATGACAAATAAGGTTCTTTATTATGCTGTCTATACTGCCTTATTTTCAGTACTCCTATCTTATGTGCCATTTGTAAAACTAGTTAGTATTTCCCACTTGGCATTTGCCCTGTGATTTCCAGTTCTCCAGGTAGACCTCTCTCTGCTTGTACCTTAATACTGCTTGTTCTCTCCGTTCCCATGGAATCATTCATAGATGTGTATTATAGTATTTCATACCATATTGCAGTTATCTCTTTTCTTGTCAGTTTCCGATACTACTCTGTGAGATTGTTGAGGGTAGAGTTGATGTATTTTTATTTTTGTATTCTTGTTCCTGGTAGCTGTAGACATGTAATTGAATGGTTGCTAAATATTTGTTTAATTGAATGCATGAATAGATGAATGGAAAGAAGAATGAAAAGGTGTGGAGAGTAGTTGTTAAGAGAAAGGATTTTGGGGCCTGGGTTTATCTCCCAGCTCTGGATTTTACTCTCTTTGTGACTGTCAATGTGTTACTTAATTTTTTTTTGTCTTCTTTTCTCCATATATAAAATGGGACTAACAATAGTATTTACTTTGCAGGGTTATAGTGAGGATTTAGATAAGTTAGTATGTATCTAAAGCCCTTAAAATAGTACATGACGCCTAGTAAGCTCTATTTAGGTGTTAGCTGCTGGTAATATTTTTATTTTCCTGATGATTCAGAACCCATAGCATCTTTTTTTTTCTTTGGATTGAAGTTTGCTCTTGTTGCCCAGGCTGGAATGCAGTGGTGTGATCTCAGCTCACCACCACCTCTGCCTCCTGGTTCAAGTGATTCCCCTCCCTCAGCCTCCCGAGTAGCTGGGATTACAGGCATGTGCCACAACGCCTGGCTGATTTTGTGTTTTTAGTAGAGACAGAGCTTCTCCATGTTGATCAGGCTGGCCTTGAACTCCCTCCACCGGCCTCAGCCTCCCAAAGTATTGGGGTTACAGGCATGAGCCACTGCGCCCAGCCCAGAACCCATAGCATCTTTACCGTCATGAATAATGTTATCTTTATGCACTGCAAACTTTGAATTTTAAGATAATGTTCAAATCATAAACATTGTTTTATATGATCTGGATTCTTTCTTTTTATAGGGTTCTATGGAGCAAGTCAGTTCTCATTTCTTGGAGCAGACCCTTGACAAGAAGCTGATGTCAGATCTGAGGGTACCTTCTATACTTCGTTGTTTAAACTGGGTTTCTGTAACCAATATGGAGGGGCAGTATGCTGAGTTGTGTTGATTTAATTTGGCAACATTTGTTAAATTAATGTATGATAACTATATTACATTTTAATTTAAAATCTTAATAAGTTGAACCAAATAACAAGTGACTTCATTAAATTTTGTGTTGTTGTAATGAAATACTTTGCCCAGGTTATACTTTACAAAAAAGAGGCAAGATTAATTTTCTAAGTCAGGTGCAGTGGCTCACACCTATAATCCCAGCACTTTGGGAGGCGGGTGGATCACGAGGTCAAGAGATCGAGACCATCCTGATCAACATGGTGAAACCCTGTCTCTACTAAAAATACAAAAATTAGCTGGGCATGGTGGCGCGCGCCTGTAGTCCCAGCTACTTGGGAGGCTGAGGCAGGAGAATTGCTTGAACCTAGGAGACAGAGGTTGCGGTGAGCTGAGATCGCGCCATTGCACTCCAGCGTGGGTAACAAGAGTGAAACTCCGTCTCAGAAAAAAAAAAAAAAAGAGTTCAAGAGAAGTGTGACCAACATGGTGAAACCCCATTTCAACTAAAAATAAAAACGTTAGCTGGGTGTGGTGGCCTGTGCCTCTAGTCCCAGCTACTCGGGTGGTTGAGGCAAAGAATTGCTTGAACACTGGAGGCCGGAGGTTGCAGTGAGCCAAGATTGTACCACTGCACCCCAGCCTGGGCAACAGAATGGAACTCTGTTTCAAAAACTAAACAAACAAACAAAAAAACCCTAGGAAACTCAAAAGGATTAATTTTCTATTTGCTAGGAACTACAAAGACCTATTCTCATTTTGTGAGATGGCATGACATTTTTGGACTCCTTTTTAGCAGCAGTTCCCATGAAAGAGTGAGTAAAGCCTTTCTCCAAACAGTAACAAAATACCCTCTACTCTGAGCCTTTTTTTCCTTCCTTTTTTTTTTTTTTTTTTTTTGAGACAGGGTCACGACTCTGTTGCCCAGGCTGGAATTCAATGGCATAGTCATAGCTCACTGTGGGTTTGATCTTCTGGGGTCAAGCATTCCTCCCACCTCATCCTTCCTGAGTAGTCGGGACTACAGGCATGCCCCACGATGGCCAGCTAATTTTTTTTATCTTTAGTAGAGATGAGGTCTTGCTGTGTTGCCCATACTGGTCTTGAACTCCTGAACCCAGACAATACTGCTGCCCCTGTGTCGGAATTATAGATATGAACTATTGTACCTGATCCCAAATGCCTCTTGGGAAATGCCCTTAAGCCTTAATTGTGATGGTTCACTAACCTGGTTAGCAGAACCAGATTTGAGTCTGAGAAAATAATATGTACATTCATTGTCAGTACCTCAATTTTGAAATTATAAAAGTGATACTATAGAGTTGTAGAATTTTTGATAAGGGAAAGCAAAACAATTTACCCATATGTTTACTACCCTAATATAATGACTTTGGTCATTTTGGTATATGTCTCTCAGCTCTTTTTCTTGGGCATTTTTTTTTTTTTCTTTTTTTAGTTTAGTTTAGTTTTGTTTGAGACAGAGTCTTGCTCTGTCGCCCAGGCTGGAGTGCAGTGGTGTGATCTTGGTTTACTGCAACCTCTGCCTCCTGGGCTCAAGTGATCCTCTCACCTTGGCCTCCTGAGTAGCTAGGATTACAGGTGTGTACCACCACACCCTGCTAATTTTTTGTAGTTTTTGTAGAGATGGGGTTTCATGAGAGGCTGATATATAAAGTGGAATGCCAGGTCATTCATTTGTGATGAGAAACATAACTGTCAAGTAGACTGGATATTTACTTTTCACCAACCAGTATATTCTACCTGAGGCAATCTTTGTGTAAAGTGAGTTTACTAGATTATTTAGTGACTGTACTGTAGCTAAAATAGAATGCAATATTGCCAAATAGAAAAATACTTTTACTGGGACTGAAGATAATTGTTTTTGTTTTTTATTTTGTTTTTTGAGATGGAGTCTCACTCTGTCACTCAGGCTGGAGTGCAGTGCCGTGATCTCAGCTCACTGCAACCTCTGCTGCCTAGGTTCAAGCAATTCTACTGCTTCAGTCTCCCGAGTAGCAGGGATTACAGGTGCCTGCCGCCATGCCCAGCTCATTTTTGTATTTTTAGGAGAGACGGGGTTTCACCATCTTGGCCAGGCTGGTCTTGAACTTCTGACCTCGTGAGCCACCGTGCCCAGCTGAAGATAATTGTTTTCCTAGAGTCAATGTATTGTCTACCCAAGATGGTGTTTGGAAGGGCGCTGCCATTATTTGTCTGTCTGGCTATCTCTTTCCTGTGTTGCTGCCAC